TGGAAGGCGGGAGCTCAGTTCCACACAAAGAAAGCCATCCAACGCGGCCCCTGGGGAGAGAAAGGTCTCCCTCGTGACGAGGTGACCCCTTCTCCCTTCTCCCGTTCACAAACTCCCCACTAGAACAGGAGCCCTGGGAGAGGCAGTCCCAACAGCTGCAGAGCATCTTCCTTCCAGTGCCCGGAGGCCCACAGAGAGGAAGCCGGCCTGAGCCTGCCTCACTTCCGGATTTACTTCCAAGCCCTCCACCCATAGGGTGTAAGTGGGGGCGGTTGTAGAATGTGGTAAGTAGGATCTCCACCTAACAAGTGTACCGATACAAACTCATCCCAGCTCATGCCAGTTCTAATCATGGCTAACATTTCTGAGCGCCCGCCACGTCCCAGGTACCATTCTGAGCACTCTGTATGTGTGAGCAGATTTAATCTTCACTAAAACCCTCTGTCTTCATCATCCCCGCGTATACGGGGAAACTGAGTCACAAAGCATAACCTACCTAGGCAGGGCCCAAGCTAGAATGGAAACCCAAGGAGCCTGGCTCCAAAAGCAAGGATTTTCTATGTCTTCATGGCCATCCTGCATCTCGAATGGAAGGGGGCCTAGGACATGAGGAGAAAAGGAGCCTACATCTTAGCAGAGAAGACCATCAACAAACAAACAAGAATGACAAGGTCATGGTCAAGGGAGATGAGGAAAATCAGGAGTGATTTTGAGGAACCGTCTGGAATGCCGCAAATATTCAATTATCTTGCTCCGGGTTGTGGTCCCATTAGCGCACATGTGTTACAAGTTCATCCAGCTGTATGCCGAAGATTTAAAATGTACCAGAAAATAGCAAACAAATGGCAGACGGTGCAATGCTACAAATAAGCAAGGGGAGAAGGCTGGAATGATCCATGTGGTAATAGACCCATTTAATTCTATATAAAGGTAGAAATACCTATAGATATGTGTATATATATAGATGGGCTAGGAACACTTTTCCTTGCTGTCTGCTGAGAGGACCTAGGATCAAAGACTCATCAGTAGCAAAAAGCACCCTGAGCACTCGGATCCTGGTTTCTAAGGCTATTCTCCAATAAACAAAAGCAGGATTCTTTGGGCAAATGACCAATCCTAGGGCTGTGACAGAAAACACACAAGATGAGCCTAAAGCATCTTGTAGTGACAGGAAATAAAAAAGTGTTCAATTAATCAATCAATCAGTCAACCGCCCGATGATGTCAAAGGGATACTAAAATGCTCCCAATGACCAAAGCTGAAGTAATTTGAGCAGCAAAGTAACTTAGTACGGGACTGTATAACCCACTGGTCGGCAAACTCGTTAGTCAACAGAGCCAAATATCAACAGTACAACGATTAAAATTTCTTTTGAGAGCCAAATTTTTAAAACTTAAACTTCTTCTAACGCCACTTCTTCAAAAGAGACTCGCCCAGGCCGTGGTATTTGTGGAAGAGCCACACTCAAGGGGCCAAAGAACCGCAGGTGGCTCTAGAGCTGCAGTTTGCCGACCACGGGTATAATCCAAAGTAGAAAATAATTGAGTCCATGATGATATAAATAAGTGACTGAATAAAGAAATGGGGAAAAAAGAGAGATCTCCCATACAGAAGAATTGCAAGTAACTGATGTCGATATTCTGATCTTAAGGAGGAGGAATCTAACTCCCCACACCATGTGAGCTGGACATTGTGACTTCCTTCTAAAGCATCCAGTGTGGAAGGCGAGAAAACGGACCAACGCTACCTGAGCATTTGAGGTCAAGGTCAACATAATCAGTTTACAATATGTACCCTGAATACGATGTGACGTATTCTGTGACACTTTATTCTATGGTCTTCTTCCCCAAACCCCATTATTCCAGCCTACCCCTGCCCAATGATGGGGAAAAAAAAAAAAGTCAGATAAGTCTCAGTTGAGTGACACCGCACAAAATACCTGACGAGTATTCCTCAACCCTCCCAAAGTCATCAAAAGCAAAAACTGAGAAGTTGTTAGAGCCAAGACAAGTTGAAGAAGACTATCAACTAAATATAATGTGGTATCCTATGTGGAATCCTGGGACAGAAAAGGAACTTTAGCCCTAGAATGTATTGCTCAGTGGTTAGAGCACCAGCCCGCACACCGAAAGGTCTTAGGTTCCATTCTTGGTCAAGGGCATGTATCTGGGTTGTAGGTCAGGACGCGTGCAGGAGGCAGCCAATCAATGTGTGTGTGTTTCTCTCCCGTCAATGTTTCTCTCTCTCTCTCTCTCTCTCTCTCTCTCTCTCTCTCTCTCCCTCTCTGTCTCTCTGTCTCTCTGTCTCTCTGTCTCTCTCTCTCTCTCTCTTCCCCCCCCTCCCTCCTTTCCAAAATCAATGGAAAAATATCCTCTGGTGAGGATTAACAGAAAAGAAAAAAAGAAAAAGAAAAAAAAAAAAAAAACACAAAGAAAAGGGACCTTAATGGAAAAACTAAGGAAATCTGAACAAAGCATGGACTTTTGGTAATAACTTCCTATCAATGGGTCTCATGACAAATGAAGCATACCAATGCATGAGGTGAATAATAGGAAAATTCGGGGGCGGGGGGGTTGGGGGGGGGAGCGGGGTTGATAGGAGAATACTCTGCACTGTCTTCACAGCTTACCTGGAAGTCTAAAATTAGACGTTTATTATGAAAAGTAACAGAAAATAATGAAACGGCGCCTTTGGCCTGTGTGGCCACTGAAGGCCTCTCTGAGGAGTTGGTGTCGGAGATGAATCCGAGAGATGAGAAACAGGCAGCAGGACCAGGGCACCGTGTTCCCAGCGAAGAGCTCAGGGCACACGGGCCTGAGGAGAGAACTGAGGGCCAGGGGCCAGGAAGCTCACGGGGAGACAGGACAGGAGGTGAACAGGATGTCACCAAGTGAACAAGCCGGCCTGGGCAGGGAGGGCACAGGGGCCTCAGACGTGAGCCTCAGGGCCCTGGAAGGTCCATGGAAGGGCTCAGCAAGATGGGACAGATCTGACCTATGCTTTTTCGATCGCCCTCGCTATGACAGGAAGAGTGGGGGAGATAAGAGGGACAGCGGTCACCCAGAGTGGTCACACTTCACGCAGCAGTCAGAGGAAGATGCCACCTGGTGAAGAGCTAGGAGTGTCTAGGGAGATGGGAGAGGAGCCGTCTGCACACTCACAGGAAAGAGAAAAGGGTGCTTCCACCTGTTCTCAATAGGGGGAGGGGTGTACTGATCAAAGCAGGCCTCCCCACCACCACCACCCGCCAGGGACAGCAACAATCCCCGACGTGGACTCTCTTCTTCTTCTTTTTAATATGCTTTATTGATTTTTCACAGAGAGGAAGGGAGAGGGATAGAGAGCAAGAAACATCGACCAGCTGCCTCCTGCACACCCCCCACCGGGGATGTGCCCACAACCAATGTACATGCCCTTGACCGGAATTGAACCCGGGACCCCCTCATCCACAGAGGACAGATGCACAGCCTTCAAAATACTCTGAGCATTCTTTCTGTAGGGGAAGCCCAGGGCGGGAGGAATTTTAGAATCTAGGCTAACCCTTCATTTTACAGAGAAGACGACGGAGGCACAGACACAGAGGTGTCCAAGCCCCACAGGGAAACCGAACAGCAAGAGACCCCCATGTCCAGCTTCCTTTCTCTGGGCTCTCCCCCCATACTCTGACCACAAGGTGGGGGCGGGGGGGGGGGCTGGGCCACCCTCCCTCATCCGCTGCCTCAATACCCCTTCCGGAAGGTTCTTTCCTTGCCCAGAACTCCCCCACAGACGGCCCCCACGGGCTGGACGGGGACTGTGATGAATGATGAAGCACCCACTGACTGGGCCCACCCTGCCCACCTCTCCCCGTTATCCTCTCCCTTCCCCCACCCGCCAGGCACAGACCACCCACATGGGCAGCCCGGCCTTCCCACAGGGGGTGCCTCCCACCTCCTCTCTGGACCCTCCTCTCTACACCGGGGCCAGGGGCCAATTCCCCATCTGTCAGGCCAGCCCCAGCCACAGCCAGCTCCCACCGCCCAGGTCACAGCCGTGACTGGAGGAGCCCGATCACTGCCCAACAGGACAAGCTTACAAAAATCCTCAAAAACCTTTGTCATTTCAGAGGCATTAGGGAGCCACTCTCGTGGGGCTGTCTAGCTAAGCTAGATGGGAATCTCTCTGGGTGAGTCTGTTAACCACCAGCCCCCTCCCCAGCCCTCTGGCCTCCCGGTGCCCACAGCACCGGGCAGAGCGCTCAGAGCAGGCACGCGGCGCCTCTTCCAAGGATTAGCAACAGCGTGGCATAGCCATGACGTGCAGAGATGAGCGTTCTCATCAGCCAAAGATATGAAAAATACTCCAGTCGCTATTTTTTTTTTTTTAAAAGCACCCTGGAGGACCTGCTTCCCTTTGAGGGAAGCCTCATAAAACCTCACCCCCCACACACACCAAAAGCACCAACCCCTCAATGAGAAGAAGCCTGAGGAGCCCAATAAGACAGGTTTCTGCATCAGAAAACATCCACTGTTCGCTCCAATTTGCTAAATGTTGCCCTGCATGCACATCCTGGTCCCCGAATTCCAGAAAGTCTTGCGTTTTCCTCCACTTCTGTGATTCCAAACAGGTCAGGTTTATGAACACAAGGAACCCAGCCACAGCTGGGGATGGCTCGCTTCCAGAACATACGTTATTTAAATTCTGATTCCTGAAAGTCACCATGCAGAGAGAGGCAGCCAGCCACCCTTCGTCAAGATTAAAAAAAAAAAAAAAATGTGTGGTCATGGACAATCCCCGACAGGTCGGCCTACCTGCACAGGCACGCCCGGGGAAGAAAAGCAGAAAGAGATTTTCTCCATAAATTAGGCTCATCCATCTGAGGTCTCACACACCTCAACATCGGAGGAGGCGTGCTGCAACCTCAGCTCACGGAGCCACCCTTCGCTGCACCACCACAAGAAAAAGAAATTCCAATTTCCTCCGCTGATCCGGAATAGATAACACGAGGATTTTTTACTCACCTTTGGAGCGAGTAGAGATATCCATGCCCTCTACCACCTCCTGTTCTGCTTTGATTTCCTCTTCGGCCAAGCTGAAACAGAGCAAAGGACGGTCAGGTTTAGGGAGACAGAGAACCTGCCCCCAGGAGACCAGCTAGCTGTTTAGAAGTCCTATCGGCAACCCCCCCATCCTTATGGAGGGATGGGGGTAAAGAAACCCACCCTTGATTGCAAACAAAGGGTAATGCCTCCCAAAGGGGTATTTTGGAGACGCCAGGTTGTCCTTTTTTTTAAGTCAAATTACTTATCCCAGGAATCGTGCTAGTGGGGGGAATGCAAAAGGCATTTTTTTTTTAGATACACAATGACAATCTGCCCCCACGGGCCAATGAGGACCCGGCCTTGGCGTAAACAAGCTTCTCACTGCTAACACCGGATTCAGGTAGGAGGTAGTTTGCAGGGCATGCGGAGTTCTGGTGTCTGAATTCTGTAAGGCAAACAGCATTTCTCAGACAGCCCTGCTACATCTTAACCATTTCAGAAAGAGGCAGGCAGGAACAAGGGGGGAAAGGTACAGAATTGCAAAGGAGAGAAATGTGCCCCCAAAAAAAGTCTCGTCTCAAAACATTCCAGCCACCACCATTCACCCCGGGAAGGAGGCTCAGGGTCTCCACACGCCCCACCCCCACCCCCGGGGGTGTTTCCTCGGGGTGGCAGGCATGGCCCAGAGAAAGCAATGGCCCTCTTTTGAGCTGTGACTAATTAATCCCCACCACTAAAGTGGGATGAGGAAGGATTCTTTGAAAGAGAGGCTGAGGGTTGGGGGGTTGGGGAAGAGAAGCGAGAAAGCAGGCCTCCCCTTTGCTGGGAAGGTCCACCAGAATCTTCTCTCCCTTTCTCTTCTGGAACTCTCCCCCCTGCCCCCCCAGTAGAGTACAAACCATTTCATATCTTCCCACACACACACACACACACACACACCCCTAAATCAACCCAGGGAAGGTCTGCTTAAATAGGTGCAAATTAGGTGAGGTGCGATGAAGTTCACCACCGAAGTGGGAAGAATCTTCACAGCCCTGGCCAGTGTGGGTCAGTGGTTAGAGTGTCGGTCCCAGCACCAAAGGGTCTCAGGTTCACATATCTAGGTTGCAGGTTCTATCTGGAGTGTGTGTGGGAAGCAACCAGTCAGTGTGTCTCTCTCTTTCTCTCTACCCCAATTCCCCTGCTGTCTGTCAGTCTCTCTCTCTCTCTCTCTCACCCTTCCACTCTAAAACTCCATGGAAAAAAAATATATATATCTTCAGGTGAAGATTTAACAACAACAATAAAAGAATCTCAACATTCACTCTAGTGCAATTCCGCCAGACTGCGGTTCAACAAGAAGTGGGTGTGTTCCCGGTTGCTATGGCTAGAACTTTCCATTTGGTGAAGACTCAAAGCCAGGGCAGAAGGGAGGCTGGGTAGGAGAGAGAGGATTGGAGTCAGGAGTCTGGGACTGTCTGGGACCAAAGCATCCAGGAAGGCCTGTCACATGCAGGTACATTTAGGGGAGTTCCACGTTTGTTGGGGGAAGAGAGTTCATCAGAACGGGGCCTAGACGGAAAGGAAGAGGGGACAGCTTTAGAATGAAATTATAAGAAGGTGGAGGCCTCAAACTTCACGAGTCCCAGCAGCCCTGCGAAGAGAGGTAGTCCGGTTTTAAATCGGCCTATTAACGCCTTCCGCGCTCTGACAGGGAGCCCCGTTCACAATTTCATTTGCACACTGCGTCTGAAACGCTGTGCCACAGATCGCCAGAAACAATCGACAGGTCGTCACCAGTGGTTTCCACCAGAAGAAAGCAGTCTTTTCCATTCAAACACATCGCTAACGTGCCATGATGCAATGGCCATGGTGGAAGGTGACTTGAGCACTAATACCTTCCACTCCAACGAAAGAGGCATGCAGACTCTCAACTCAGACACACGCCCTGCCTGCCGCACACACAGGTTGCTTGGGGTGACTGGAAGTAAATTTTAACAAAAAGCCCCACGCAGCCCTCAGAGCTGGATAGATGGTCCACTTCCAAGGAACAAATAGCCACCTTGATCTTTCTACCAACTGGAACTGTTTCTCCCTCTAGCATGACAAGTACGGTATGTGAAATCTTAAACTTCTTGAAACCAACCCCATATTTGGAGTGACGGAGAAAAATGCTAATCGGGGACCCAACCAAAATGTCTGGTCGTGAAAGGAACCATGTGTGCATCACAGAGCCCCAAAAACCCAATCGAAGTATTTCGGCAGGGATGAAATCATGCAAAGGTATAGGGATCATGGAGGAGGGCTGGATTCAAGAGAACAATGATTTGGCTTGTAACAGCCTAGAGGAGTCGAATACTTTCAGCAGAAAATGCAAAACTAGTGATGCAGGGACTGTTTGCCGCTGAGTTTAAGATAATTCTGAAGCAGAAAGGGGGGGGTGAGGGGATTAAGCCGTTTTATCTTTCCAAGTATTGCAAAGTGGGCCACCATAATCACCTAACTTTAGCAATAGCACTGCCAGCTTTAGCAAGGATTTCAAGCACAATTCCAGAGAACCCATCTTTTTCACCGATCAGCAAGCCATCGTTCCAAAGGGGAACCCGTACATGCACACGTGTGTGTGCACACAATGCATACAAGAATGTGTGTGTGTGTGTGTAAAGGAAATTGCAGTGTCTGTGCATTCAAGGGGGGGAGGGGAGAGAATCATTTACCAAAGCCAAGACCAGAATGCAAAATTAGTCATTTTGCATAGCCACATCTAAAGGGACTTCCTTTTTCTACACCACTGAGCTCAGGTCTGGGGTGTGTGTGTGTGTGTGTGTGTGTGTGTGTTTTTCTCTTGGTTTCGTTTTAAATATTAGTATGTTATTAGGGGAAAAACTATTTATACTACATCGAAAGTGTTGGTGAGAAAAGATTTGTACCTGTCTGAATGCCCCACAGATCTTGGTCAATTTAGGTTAAGAACTGTTCAGTCATTTGGGTTAAAACACACACACACACACACACACACACAGTCAAATAACAATAAGTGTTAAAAAGACAAGGTGGATGCATCTGCAGAATCAACTCTTGTCAATCACACATTATAGTCTTAGCAAATATCCAAGCATCTTTTCTTTCCTGTTTGCTTCCAGAAGCCCCGCACTACCCTAGGTCAAAAAACAATGGAGAAACAAGCACTTGTTTCAAACCGACATTACTTTTTTTTTTTTTTTCCTTTTAAAGTCTGCAGGGGAGGCTGGGGATAGCCACATGAGGAAAGGGTAATTATTAGCTGAAAATCAAACAACAGTCTCTTCCCCGCAACAGGAAAAATCCACCGTCAACTAGTTGTATACAAATGTTACCACCACCACCTCTTACACTCCCATTTACCCTAAGTCACTTGCCTATGGATTCTGCAGACTGGTACATTTCAGACAATTCCAAGAAATAACAGCATATAACCAACAGCATGCCAGCCAGTCCCAGAAAGAATAAAAGATTTCTCTCCCAAAGCCTGAGCAAGAAACCCTTAACCTGCATGCACTTTTTAAAAAGAGCAATTAAAAGTTGCAGACGAACTGCTGCACCTCCAGGATGCTGTAAGCCTTCTGATGATTAATTCTGAGGATTCAAGGCTGGTCCGTAATTCCCAGGAACCCCATCCCCTGAGCACTTCCAAAGGGGGGGGGGGGGGGGTAGGAGGGGAGAATATATATACAGTTTTAACAGAAAAATGCCCAGATACACAATGCCCAGATCTTCCTTTCCCCCAAGTGTTCCTACTATCTGACTTTTAACCAAGAATATCTAAACCCATCTAGAATACACAACCAGCATGCAGGAGACTCTGGCTCTACAGCAATTCAAACATCATGCATCATTCCAAAGGACTTGTACTTTCATTCAAAACCCCAAACTGGTCCAGGCTGTAAGAAACAGTGAATCCCCAAGACACAACACCTTCCTCTTCTAGATCACAAAAGGAGCCAGCATCCAATTCTAAAACCCATGCTCCCCTAAATCTGCAATTCATTTTGTTTTAATGGGGGTGGGGGTGGGGGGTGGTTAGCAAAGAGCAGCTTTATATAAGCACTCACCTAAAACGGGCAGAGTCATCGGTAGCTAAGCTATTTATGCAGGATTCTTAAAATGGCGTCTGGCAACACTGCCTCCCTCATTCCTGGGTTGGAGCTAAAATGGTAGCAGTTTGTTCAATAGCTGCAGCTCGTGGTTAGGCGGCCCTGCTACTTTCCCAGCCACCCTCCTGAAGATCAGAACCAGGCAGCAGCGCTCAACCAGAGGACACCAACAACCCAACGTGTAGAAGCTTTAAAAAAAAAAAAAAAAAAAAAAAAAAAAAAAAAAAACCCTGCAATGACAGGGGGAGTTTGTGAAGTCACAGGTTCCTAAGGAAAAGCCTCCCCTTTCGGATCCTGAGCCTGCACCAGGAGGCTCTAAAGAGAGGCCCCCTCTGCCCTCGAGTGAGGCAGTTGAAAATTAGGAAAGAGGCAGCCGTGTGGCAGAAGCTGCAGACAGACAGGTGTCTGTGCAACACACACACACACACACACACACACACACACACACACACACGTTACAAGGGAGCAAGCAGCAGCAGGCTGGGGAGGGGAAGGAAGGAAGACCATTTCCCCTTCTTGGTATTAGTAAAAGCCAGCTTTGCATCCATACCCAGAAGGAGCTGCGTACAAGGAAAAGGCTCCCGGGTCAGCGGGCATCAGAGAAGCCACGCTACAGGGCAGCCCCCCGGCCTGGAGGCCGAGGTAAAACCAAAAGGCTGTGTACAGTGTCTGAGCTTGAAAACGGCCACCAGACACCCAGGCGGCCCTGAGACAGAATCAGGGAAAGACAATCGGAGTCTGCAGGGACACAACAGGACAATATGCACTTCAGCCAATCCACAGGATACTCACAAATTAGAAATTTTTTTTTTTTGGTCCACCCCCAACAGAGCCCTGAAAATGAACCCCTGGTTTTGCAAAACCTGCTCTCCGAGGCCCAACACACAGCCTCGTCGTGGATAATGTAATAATTCACTGCTACAGGTCTGAGCATTGGCCTCAGCGCCGTGGTGCTGGGAGTGGAGAGTTTCAAGGTGACTGCTTTTTCACTCCAGGGGAGACAGGAGGGCATGGTGCCCAAGGCTGTGCCAGGGCTGGGACGGTGGTTGGCTCCTTGCCGATAGGTGGGTAATCTTGATGAGGAGGGACAGCCCAGCAGCCCGGCTAGCTGCAGGGCTGAAATGGCTCCCGGCCGGCTTGTTTATCTGGAAGGAGACGGGGGAGGGGGAAGGGCAGCCATAGCCTAGGCAACCTGAAAAAAGCCAAGGGTGAATCCTTGTTTTTGCATTTCCGAGCGGCACCGGGGCTTGTAAACATATTCCCTTACTAAACCTCCGAGCTGCAGTGGCAAAGGCACTGAGTGTCTTTCTTTTCAGGGTCACCCAGAGGCAAAGCCAGATCCTAGGGCTTCTCAGCTGACAAATGTGTGTTGCCTCTGCTACAAGAGAGAGGGAAGGGAAAGGGCAAAAGAAACAAAGAGATCACACATTGGAAGTGGGTGGACTCCAGAAACCTACCTCTGCCTCCAGGGTTTTCTGGGTTACAGGCACCCTGGCTTTTTACGGATGGACTCCTCTCCTCCTCGCCTATTTAAGACCCGAAGCCGGTCACCCCTGTCCTCCCAGGGAAAGAAAAGGGGTTACAAGGAAGGAAGAAAGAAGAGGGGGGAGGCTATTGTTTTCATCCCCTAATTTATAATCCAAGATGCCCTATTGTTTCCTTCTTTCGGACTCAAACTCTCTGAGCTAGTCGTTACAAAAGTAACTGGATGGGGCTCCAACAGGCTAGCCATGTCCATGCCTGGCAATTAGAAAAACTATGTAGAAAGTTTACTGAGTGATTACATATAATTAATTCCTAGTTACAGAGGGAACACTGACCATTTTCTGGAGCTAATAAAAGCAGTGGCTTCCCCCCCCTTCCCCCACGTGAATGCCCCTTAATTTCCCAAAGCAGAAAGTGAATCCATCCTGGAGGGTCTTGAAGGGGGAAAAGAGGGAGGGGGAGGGGAGAATCAAAAGCTCCAGTGTGTCTGTGTGTGTGCCTCGCAGCTGTGCATCCTCTTTGGGGATGGAGGAGGCCGGAGGGAAAGGGAAAAAACAGCCCCCATGTTCTGTCCCTCCCTCTGCAATTTCCAAACGTGGCAGAGAGAACCTTCTACCTTGATGTGAAAGAAAAAAAAAAAAAAGAGGGTGAGGGAGAGAGAAATGCCTCAGGAATGAAATGCAGGAGAGACTCTTCAGCCGGGTGGATCTGTTTTGCCTAAAAGGAACAAAGATGGTAGAAATTTCCAGAAGGCCCAGTTTCAAGTCGGCCACTGCAATTGTCAATCTGTAACCTTTCCTCCCAGTCCATTGGTTCAAAAGCTGGAGAGAAGAGCCCCATTGGGCTGCTCTGTGAGCCAGCCCTGCTGTGCCTACCTCGTCCTGCTGCAATGCAGACATTTCTACCCCCTAACTGAAACTGGAAAATAATGCTACTTTGAAAGCAACTGACTTGTTACAGACCCATGCCCAGGGGTGGCCTCAGCACCCAGGAAAAGTGGCTGGCTTGGCCCAGGCTGGGGACTTGCTGGGGCTGGCTGCACTCTGAAAACAGATCTTGGCTCTGCAAACCTGTGTGAGCCATTTTTAATGTGAGCTTTTAGAGGACAAATACCTTGCCCTTAGGTTTCCTTCCAGCCCAACAAACACACCATTATGCAAACACTGAAGGCACCAAGGGGGGAGTCTTGTGATTAGATATTGCTTCTAGGGAGGCCACAAGAACCTCAGGATATAATTTCCATTTACAGTCAGGAGATAAGAACAAAGAACATAGCTAAATGTCCGAACTTTACTTGTGTGGGGCAGGACAACTGCTCAGTTTTAAGTAGACATAGAAAACACCATGAACTCTTTTGACATTTTATGCTAAGAAGCTGGCCTTCCACACTTTTCTTCTTAACTTAGAATTTGGTACATTTCTCACCATCAAAAGGAGCCTTTTTTCCAATTGGTGCTAAAAGCTAAGCTGGACACCCATTTAAAAGAAAAAAAAAAGATTATCAACTCCATCAGGTGAGCATAACACAGCCATGGAATATATTTCCAGCATTTACAGTTATGCTGGACTGGACTCCAGGCTGGAAATTGATGCATGGAACTTCTAGGGAAATTCTGAAGCTAATGCGAAACAAGAGCCCACTTTTTTTCCACTCTGAAGTTCTAACTGCAGCATTAAGAGATCAGGGGGAAATGGGAAAAGTAAGAAATAATTCATAAATAAAGGTAAGCATGCATACAGATGTGTGTGTGGGGGTCAGGCTTGGCAGAGGCCAAATCTGTTTTTTGCAGGGAGTCTCCTTAATCAAATCAAGTTTGCTGGTGGGTGGGATTTCACACTCCCTGTTAGCATCTTAAAACCTGAGTACTGACACCCCTATCCCCACACACCACACACACACACACACACACACACACACACACACACATACACATACCACCACCACCACCAGCTCCTGCCCCACCACCACTTGCTGAAGGCTCAGTGACTCTTAAGAACAAGCACTTTCTTACATTTCACACGCTGATCACCTACCCAGACTTCTATCTCACATCCAAACAAACCCAATTAAAGGTCTCCAGGCAAGCCACAATGAACTGCACATGTCTCCCCTGTCTGAGGGTTCACAGGAAGTATAATTGTCCATCCTAGCTGCAGGTTCTCAGGGGGAAAAAAACAACAACAGTGGATTCAAACAGCCACCTAAAATCAAGACACTATTAAACAGCCCTTGTTTGGTTCCTGCTAATGAAAATGAAAAGCCCTCCAACTGCTCCAGCCAAGACCCCCTGCTATAAAACAGACCCCCAATGTCCACCAAACTCTTTAATACATGGTCACAGAGGAAATGGATCGCTTTACTTACCCAACATGTTCAAGCAACCGTCTCATTTTTCCACAGTTAAGAAGAGAGAACAGGCTGGCAGATTTGGGACTTGATCAAAAAGGAAATTTTTTTTTTAAACAGTTACATGGGATCATTAAAAACACACACAACAACAACAACAACACAACCCAACAACTAAGCAGGGGGATGCTGTCATGAGCCACAGACGTGATTTTATTTCCTCTGCACTATCACAGGAGGGCAGAAGATGATACAATGAGGGGGGGTGGGGGAAGGAAAAGGAAAAAAGGTTAAAAGAGACATTAGTTCATTGAACATCATGCAAGAATAGAGAGCTCAAGGATTTAAAAAAAAAAAAAAAGAGTCCTCACAGATTTATTGCAGGATGTGGTCCAACATCTCCCCCACCCCCACCCCCCATCCCCCACCCTCCACCCCCACTCTCCATCCCTACTCCAAAAACTTCCTCCAAAGCCTAGAAAAACACTTTCAGAAACATTGGCTGGCTGCAGGCTGGCTTTGCAGGAGACCAAAAACACTCTGTTATCAACAGAAGTCAGGGAGGGGAAAAAGGCTGAACAATGTAGTTTTCAAGTGAAGCAAACCCTGTAGGGAGAGAAAAGACCATGTAGAGATACCACCCCCCACCTAGGCCCCAGGAGCCAGGCGCTCCTCAGCCCTGCTCTGCTGAGGGCTTGGTTCTGGTTTAAAAACACACACGTCCTCTCTGGTCCAAACTTAGTCCAGCTTTTCCCAGAAACCTCTTTGGAGAGGAAAAACTTGCCTGCTTTGCTGTCTGCCATGAGCTCTCCTTAGAGAGGAGCCTGCTTGCTCACCTTCCATTTTCTTCCCCAGCAGGCATGTGACACAAGAGAAGACAATAGTGCAGGGGGGAAACTGCTCAGAGAGAGAGAGAGAGAGAAAGAGGAGGAAGAAAAAAAAAAAAAAAAGAAAAAGGAAGAAAAAGCCTCTTTTTTTGGCATACCAGGAGGATATCTAGCTTCAAACTGTTTCAGAAACACCATGTCCTGGTGGAAGGAAAGATGTGCCAGGCCCTTGCCAGTTTGCAAAGCCGAGCTATGGCTAATGGCTCCTGAGCCATGTGACCCAAGAAAGAAAAAAAAAAAAAAATTCTCTCTAAACAGTTCCAAGTTAACCTAAGTGCTGTGGGGGGGAGTGTGGCCCGGCCAGCCACAGAGAAATCACACTGCTCGCCCACAATTCGATGTCTCAGAGGGAGGGGGGAGAAAAGATGGTTAAAAAGTCGAGCTTACCTCTGTGGATGCATTGTTAACACTGTGTAATGTCAATACTTATAAAACATGGAGGACAGGCTCCTAGTTCTCACAGAAAAAGGGTTTGGCACTTCGGCTTGATGATCTGGCCGCCCAATAAGAGCTCATCCCCGATTGGCTGGCCCGGCAAATCCGAGTGTAAGGCGGCCCCGGATTGGCTGAAACACTTCCTGAGCGATTATCTTTGTGAGGCTCTGGTGAGCAAGAGCCATCCTGTGCATAGAAAAAGGCAGGCTAAGCTAGGCCTTCTGCAGCGAGAAAAACTTGGGAAAGGGGCCCCCGACGCGCTTCTCCCACACCCTGCCTAGCTTTCCCAGCGCAGGCGAACCAGGGCAGACAGCCTGACCTGCTCCAGCACAGCCCGAGGCCCAGATGCCACTGCAAAGAGAGATTTTGGAAGTGAGCTGGCAGGGCTCGCCCTCACTTGCCCCCCACAAAAGCGGCTCTCTGCTAGGAGGAAGGCTGGCCCTTTTTCTAGAACAATCCAGCAGGATGGTCCACCCGGGGGGAAGGCGGGGAGTAGGGGGAGCTGAGGAGTAAGGAGCCCCAGGAAATGGGCCCAGGGGGCAGGAGAAAGGGGCTAGAGGCAGGCCTCTGTGGAGCTGGGGGGCAGACAAGACAGGGCAGGGAAACCCCAAGAAAATCGCTAAAGAGCAGCCCTGGCTACTCAGAGCACAGAGGCTTGGGCTGCAGGGGGGAGGAGGGGAGGAGGGGAGCAGAGTGGTCAAGTTTGCATAGTCATTGTCAAAACGCCTCCTGGAAAAAAGCAGGCCGGAGAGCCATCCTGGCGGCACAGGCTCCGTCCTCTCAGCCGGGAGGCAAAGGAAAAGCCAAAATGGGCTCCTGCCTCCCTGCCAGGATGCCAAGGGGCGGCCCCCCTCTCCGTCCTTACCCTACGAAAAGCCAAAGGCGCTCCTAAGCAGGCCACATGCCTAGATCTACAGACTTCCCTTCCCCTCCCGGCCCCCTCCCCCACCGCGAGGCCTGCTAAACCTGTCAGTTAAACAAAAATCTGACTTCCGTATTAGCCTGCGATGCCTTCAGCTTCCTGCCTATTAACCCTCTCTCGGACGCCTGGCCTGGCTGGGAAGGACTAGGCCCCGAGAGCGCAGAAAAGGCCTGTGGAAAAATACCAGCTGCAGCTCCCCCGGCAGATGCAGAAAGAGAGAGAGAGAGAGAGAGAGAGTGAGCCGCTGTCTCTCGCCTTTGCTTCCCAAGGAGGCGTGTACCTTCTGAATCCAGGGCACAGGCAGTGCCTCTCGGTCTGAGAAGCCATTTAAGTCCAGTGGGAGAGAGAAAGATGTCAGACCCGGGGAGGGAACAAGAACCCCCATTATTATAGTCAGGCACACACCCGCTGCTCAGCCCTTCCTGTCACAATCACCCCTGTATGTATGCACTTGGGGAGCGGGGCCCCTCGGTGGGCAGGCAAATCCCAGGGGCTTTTTGAGGGCTCTTGCTGAAATGTATTTCCACAGGGGATGGCTTCTTTTCGTCCCCGGCAGATGGAACAGCTATTTCACACACGGCTCTAGACTTGCCAGCTCTTTCTCTTCTCCCCCCACTGTCCCCCCCCACTCTGGCACTGCTCCCCAGTAAAATATTAACTAGTTTTTCAGGGCTGCTTATAATGCCACCCGTTTCAATAGTGTTCGGTGGTCTTTGCCTGTTTGCTCCCCAGAGCTGCCTTTGTCGTCCGTCTGAGCCCGGAGAAGGAAAAGACAAAACCCAAAAGGATTTTTGAAATGTCCGTGCTTGCTTTCCTCCTTCTTCCAGACAAGGTGCTTCACGAGCAAGATTCCCTTTGAAACTGCATGTGGGACATCAGAAGCTAAATAAACACCCTTCTTTAAAGGCTGGAGAAAGCTTCCCGAGGGGAGGCAGCCATATTCCAGGAGGTAAAACGATGGCCCAATCATATGCTGTCCCACACCATTCGCTCCCACAAAGAAAACAGAGCTGATGGCTTGCTCTCCCCACCCCCTCCCCCCCACCCCCCACCCACACACACACACAGGGACAACAAATGCCCCCCGAGGGTACATCAATCCCTCCTGCTGGAAGGACCTTCTACGAAGCAGCAACGAGCCAGGAACCCACACACACAGGACTGCAGGGACAGCGCCCGGGCTGCACGAAAAGGGAGGGGATCTGGTTGCTGTTGTTGTTGTGTTTTAGGCTAAAGAGGCCAAGATGCAGGGAGGGCCAGCACGCAGGGCAGCCGGCCTGGGCCTCACCAGAAGGGAGGGGCCTCCTCTTCCTGGGGTGGGAAGCTCGCTCCTTCTGCACCGGGAGACCAAATGGGGGACAAGAGTCGCAGGCCAGAGCTAATCAGACTGAGTTTCCTCCACCACCATTCCCTGGGGAATACTGTTTGTCTCTGCGGTGCAACTTTTTTGTGTAGGGGGGCGGGGGCAGGCATTACTGTGAGTTTGCGATGAATCTTGCATGCAGCTAACTCCACGACCCGATGAGGAAATGAAATGTGCCGCTGGTGCAGCGTGGTGGATTTTAACCAGGGATTAAAGCTTGTTGCATAAGCAGCTGCAGCATCCTCCCCCTCCCCCTCCCTCTCTCCCTCCCTCCTCTCTCTGATCACTTGATGTTTTCTGGGGCAAAGAGCAGGAAGCTGCAGGCTTATTCTGGCAGCTCCGCTCCGTTTGAGGAATGCTGTTGGCATTCAGGTAGATCTGAGGTTATCTGGAAAACGGCTTTGGGGCTGGGGACAGTGACAAAGGTGTCCTGGAAGAAGGAATCCTGGGCTAGGGATGGATCAAAAAGGAGGAAGCCCAGGGCAGGCCCGCTAAGGGCCCCTCCCGGGCTTGATGGAATGTGGCTGATAAGAGGCCCTCCCAGGGCTGCCCTGAGTCTAGAGATCATCCCGGGCCTCCTCAAACCCTCCCTGCACAAAGGGGTGGCGACCGGTCAGCTACCCACTGCTCTCGGCCAGCCAGGCCCTGGGCTAAGTCAGCACTTGACACGGGCCGGCTCCGGGAAGGCAGGGAGCCTGGTTACAGACGTGGACGTGAGCCCAACGCCGTGAAGTGAGCTGCCCAAGGTCACACAGCTGGCTAGGGCCAGAGACCAGGCTTCCAACCTGGTGAGGACTCCACATCGCTGAGCCCGGACCTTCCCTTGCCTCCACAGAAAGAAAAGAGAAGCACCGCCCTTGTTTTCTCCAGGAGGCCAGCTCCTTGGGCAATGAGTGTTAAGTCCTGGATGGCGGGTGCAGGTGGGGGAAGTTTAGATCAGACTCCCCAGAGGCCTAGAGAAACCTCCTTTCTCCCTGCAAACCTTCAGCAAGATTTCAGGGGAGTCGCTTTGCCATCTCTACAATCAGGCTTTTATAGTCCTTCAACCAGGAGTGGTTTTGTCACCCCCACCCTGTCCCCCAGGATATGCAACCATGTCGGTAGATGTGGGGGTGATCATTATCAGCATCTAGTAGGGATGCTGCTAAGCACCCTACAGCGCCCAGAGCAGCCCCCCAGCACGGAATGATGTGGTCCAACCGTCCCATTGTGCCGAGGTAGGGAATCCTTGGCTGAAAGCAAAAGGAAGAGGGGGAGAAAAAATGCAACCATTGTGCGTCCGGATAGAAAAGCCAGCACAGGCCTAAACAAGCAGGTTCCGTGGTGATATTAATAAGCAGTGAGCTAATAGAAATAGATTAAGCCTGTCTCTCTCCTCATTCCCAGGGGACGGAGAGAATCGGGGGAGAGCACCGGGCAGAAGGAAGCCAGGCGGGGCCTCGGTGATAACGCTGGTCTCCCAGGAGAGGAAGAGCTGGCCCCAGCCCCCTTCCCCAGGCACCCTCACCGGCGGAGGCGGCCTGGCCTCCCCGCCATGGCTCTCCGCTCGGCTGGCCCGCGGCCAGGCCGGCAGCAGGAGGAGCGGCCCGGGCAAGCTGCAGCCCGAGATAGCCCGTCCGGCCGCCTGTGAAAATAAGCCCCCTCCGAGTGATCTGCCTCCCGCTCGCAGCAGGCCCCTGGGCCCGTTACGGGAAGCTCGGGGACGGAGGCGAGGAAATGGTTTAAATATCTGGTTCTGCTCTGTTCCTCTCGGCCCGCTGGCATGGAGGCCGAACCTCAGGCGTGCTGACAGGAGGGCTCCCCTTCAGAAGGAGGAGTCGTGTTACAGCACAAAGAGGCCGTGAGGAAGGTCCCCTGGAAGGTCTTTTTTTTTTTTCTTTCTTTCTAGGAGGGACTGGCAGGATTAGGCAAATGGAGGGAGAAGGGAAGGGCATGGGGGGATGGTACCTCCACCAGAGACAGATGGCCACAGTGTGTGGGGAGAGATGGAAGGGATGCAGGGACAAAATGAAAAATCAAAAGGAAGTTACTATGGAGAGAGGAGCACCTCGTTATTTGCTCTGTTAGCGTCTGTCTCCCACCAGACCCTCGGCGATGTCTGGAGACGTGGCCACACCCGGGGTGGGGGTGGGGGGGGAGTGAGCCCCTAGGGGTGTGGAGACCTGAGATGCTGCTAAACAACTGCCCCCCCACCCCCACCCCAGTAAAGAGATACTCAGCCCAATGTCACTGCTGCCTGTTAGGTCTGACCCCCTCCCCGGAGGCAGGGGTGGGGATGGGGTGCGGGGGGGGGGGGGGGTGTCGATTCCATCATTTGATCAGACCGAAGGGGGCACAGGTGAGAAAACACTGAACTGGGCTGAGAGCTTCCAGGCGAAGGCCTTGCCTGAACTCTTCCCCGTTGTGCTCTCGGGGTCCAACATTACGCTCCACACGTATCAGAGCGCCACAACCATCCCCCGCTGAGGCTGCGTCTCCGGGCTGCGCTCCTGCCCTGCCCTGTGCATGCGTCTGCGCACGCACACTGCAGACACAGAGGCAGCCGGGATCCTCTCAGAACAAGCCAGGCCTTGTCCCTCCTCCGCACCAAATGCACCGTCACTCCGATCAAAAGCCCCAATGCTAACGACGGTCCCTGGCCCTCCCTTGAGGAGCAGTGTCCTCCCTGCTCTCCGACTTCA